AGTACAAATAACGTAGTCGACAAATCGAAACGAGTGAATAACATGTTACGGAGTTTGACCTCAGTATCCCCCGTTTTCTCCTGCCAGGGAAGCTGTAGAGCCTGAACTAGCTGCTTTTGCGAGCATAAGGACGGTTGAAATAATCGAATGCAAATTGCTTCCACAGTCGCGAGTGTACGAAAGCGTTGGCCTTTCGATCGGAGCGGTGAAACCTTGTATACAACTTTAATGACACGCTTTAGATCCACCTGATGCCCACTGTCGACGATAGGAGCCAGAATGGAGCTGCTAATGGCTCCAATACCACCTTGATGCAACCAAAATGGACAGTGTTCATCCACGCGTTTGGACAAGTGCCGCGCCGTTCGACCGATATAGGTTGCGCCTCAGGTGCACTCGAACTGCTAAATAACCATTGAAGCGGTCAGCATGGGCAACGTATCCTTGTTTCGTGACGGACGAGTGGTCCCGTTGAAAACACTTGCTTTATCGACTTACTTACTCCCGTAAGACTTCGAGTTAGACGCTCAGTAACTGTGTCCCCTGTGAAAGGTAGGCCTTTCTTTCTTTGCCGATGTTAACTGGCACCTGTTTAGGCTTTTCCTCAATGTTTCTTAAAATAAGTCTGTCGGGATATCCAATTTCGCATGGAACTTCTTCAAATGCGTGAATGAACACTGTCCATATTGGTTGCATCAAGGTGTTACTGGGGCCATTAGCCGCTCCGTTCTGGCACATATCGTCAACAGTGGGCATCAGATGGATCTAAAAGCGTACCTTTAGAGTAGTATACAAGGTTCCACCGCCCCGATCGAAAGGTCAACGCCTTTATACACTTGCGACGGCCGAAGCAATTTGTATTCGATTATTTCAACCTTCTTTATGCTCGCAAAAGAACCTAGTCCAGGCTCTTCAGCTTCCCTGGCCCGCGAAACCAGAGGATACTGAGGTCAAACTGCCTAACATATAAGTACCCCGTTTCAAATTTTTGTCCATGTTATTGTACTAACTGGGTCGATTTTAGTCTTATTTAACCCTATCTATCATTGTAATGGTTTGAGGATGAATCATTGAAAGCGGTCGCTCACCAAACGGTTTCGTTGTTCTCATTCACATTGTTGTACCGAGATCGTCCCTCACCACGGTACAAGGCTTTAATGATTCAGTCTTATTACGCAACGCTAACCGCTTGACGCGTACGTTTAACAGTTTAACTCATTTGCACCATACCTAGTTTCCAGCTGTTCTGCTCGTGACATTGTTTTTATCTAAGGATTTTAACCTAACGAATTTACAAGACACTGATATTAGGCTGCAGTTTTTGGATATTTATCTGGTCTTCTGTCCCTATCTTGTCCCTATGGCGATCTCGATATCTACTCTTCACATCACTCATGCGGGCTTATTAGGTTTCTTCAGAATTACACTCAATCAGACAACCAGAATACATCCAAAAAGTGCACTGAACGGTGACCACTTGCTCTTCGCACCTAGTACCGTTAGTCCCTGTTGCCCGTTTGCTAGTCATGACGTTCCGCTTACTCACATTTTTGACAGTGCATAGAACAGGACATCCTAAAAGATAGCTTGTGAGATATCAGCAGTATACCAGCACTTAAACTTTGCTACAACCTAGCCTCTAGCGATTGTACGCTTCCTGAAATACTGCCGGAGCTCTCAAACCCATGCATGAGATGATTACGTTAAGGGATCAACGGGTCTCGTGCTCGGAATGTATGGGTTGAAAGCCCGACGATTTCCCTCGCTTCAGCCGCCAACCAGCCGAGGGAACTTCGAACAGCTTGGGCAAGCTACTGTTTATCTAAGAGTCATAGGAGTTAGGCAGTGTAACTGGAAATGCCCAACCAACTACCTTGCGCGAATCTTGCTTCGCACTGGGCGGCCGTTTCTTCCTCGTTAGGATCACCAACAATACTTGTGCCTTTGTCCTGCCAACCAGTCAGGGGTGCGATTCCGCTCATACCATGGCATACGCCAGTGGTCGATATTGCTAAACAACCAGCTCTGTGATGGCACAATCCATTCTCTGCTCTATTCACATTAAACTTCGCACGCTCCGACAAGCATAATAATGCTAGGCGCGCGGCGTACATCATGCTCAGTCCTGTGAAGCCGCCAATTGTTGATATCCACTGTGGTTTGGAAACACTTGAGCGTGAGAACGCTAGTAGTATACCTATCCCGATGCTTGACAGAGTTTAGGATATAATCACAACATACGTGCCACCATACGCGATCGTTGTGCTTAGTGTTCGCACTACTTTCCGTGCCGTCTGTCGAGTAGCCCTCCGTAAAGCGAGACGACTGGGTCACGATCACGAATTCGTTTACTAAGATTCTGCATGGATATTTATAGTGTATATACACCATTTGCGAGATTCCATTCCAATGGAATGTCGTTTGCTCTATTTGCATTTGGTCTGCGCTTGTTCGCAACGTTCATCCTGTCTAAAATTACCTCGAGCCGCGTTGCTGACTTGCTGGGTGGACTGCGTGATTACCTCGGTTGGTCACCCGTCCATCTGGTCGCAAGCTCCTTCCCTTGGCCCGGTGTCACCGAAAACCTTGACTCAAGTGCGTACAGTCTATCTGTGACATAGCAAACCACTACGCCTCTAATCGGTACACGCTTTTTCGCCAGACTGAATTGATTCTATGCATTTTTGTCCTGCTGACGCCTGGTTAGTCCCCTGCACACTCACTGGATGTTTTTTATCTCAGTTGGCTGCCTATCCTTGCAGAGCTTGGCTTGGGCGCGCGCAGCTCACTCGCTGCTCAGCTAACTAATCCGCTCCTGATGACATGTATACTTTCCTTTGGACTAACTTGCATCTATTCGCTATTCCGCGAAGTGTTGCGTCGCATTCGATTGGCCATCCGCCTACCGGTATTATAGCGTTTACACTCACTATTGGTCTCAGCCACTACCACACCATACATACGGGCTGCATCCCTCAGCGGCTAGCTTAATCCTTATAGAGATGCCCCAGAGTTCCAGGGTTTTTTTTACTAAAGTACTGAGAGGAAATTACTATACCCAAACGCGTTTTGAGAATGACCGAGTCAAAAGCCTATGGGTCTAAGACCTCGTTCCATAGTTGGTAGGTTCTTCGGAAGAGCTTATTCTGTTGTCTTTCAAAATCGCTGTAATACCTACTCAGTTTGAACTGGTAACTCCTCAGGCTGTTCTTTCGACAACTAATATAAGAAGTCGTACCCGATCGGCAAGATCCCTCAATCTCTGGCACATCGTTATGAATCCATCACGCGTTGTTCGACGTCTATTGGACAGCCCAAAGCAGCCCCAGATTTTGTGGTAATGTGGACTAGGATGCAAAGATCCTAACCTCGGTGTCGTAACGCTGTACCGGGAGATTTTCGTGTTCTCGGAGTAGCTGACCGGAATAGTGCCACAGATCCTAGTCAGTAGACAGACGACGAAATAGGTCATCGTCCAATCAAAGTATCTCCACATAAAAGCGATACTGCGGAACTTCTAGACCGACAACCTAGGGAAATAGACTCGACTACGTTTGCTACCTCAAACCAAAGGCGAATGCAGGTTTACCCACTCCCCAATTTGTAGCTCAATTAATCCAGTCACCTGGGGTGTAAAGGTTTAACGAGGACACGAATGTACACTAAGCTGTACGATGCTATTGCATGAGCACTTCGCGGATGTGTTTTTAAGTAAGCCTACCGGTACGGGTACTGCGTTAACACCGCGCGGAAGCACTTTTGATGACCCCCTCTTCGCCGGGACTGTTCACAATAGTGACGATCCGCCAAAGGCCAGATTGTACGTATATATTTTTCCGATGCGTCTGAACTGACTGCCGGATCAGATCCTAGAGAACTACCTTCTAACCATTTTTATCTTGCTTTTGCTTTCTGCTCGTGATCAACTCAGGTTCGATGGTGATTTAAATGTCTAGGCTATCTGCTTTGTTGGAGTGTGCTCCGGGCTGATCAATACTTTAGGTTGACGCTCCATATAGTCTAGCCAGTAATACATTGATAGGGGCGCATTATTTGGAGACGAACCCGTTGCTTGTCTCCTAATATTTTCGGACCACCCGACCTCGCGTAGGTGTTCCACTTTAAGCTCTTAAACTTGCGATCGCAAATGTTTGCTAGTTTGGGTGAGGTTTTCATCCGTGAGTAAATTTGACGAACTTCTGGCCTCCGCAATCAAGCTACGCAAACCTACAGATTTCGCACTTCCACCTAGCGATTGTGTCAAGAAATCTGGCCCGTTAGAGAGTACCGATCCCATACTTTTTGTGCCAAACTACTCGGAAAACTTGAAAACTAAACATGGGTCATAGAGCAAACGACACCTCAAGCCTAACACCATTGGGACGACAAAGATTGTTACCGTTCCAGCTGAGTGCTGTCGGTGGCAGTCATTTGAATGCAACCACCCATCCAGGAAATCGCTCGACGTCCGTTTCATCCTATTGGGGCTCGTCAATAGTGCGCACCCACCGAATTCGAACCCATGACCTTACTTCTACGAGTCAGCCATGGACGACTGCGGCGGACCGCCATTATTAATTTCTAACTGCGGTATAGTACGATTCACCCTTCATTTTCATGTTTGTTATGAACGTGCACAGGACAGGGCTGGCCCCCAAATGCTGCGACTATCTTTGCGATCCGGATCCGGTAGCATCCGGCATATGCGCTCTTTTGACGAGTCCTGATAATATGAAACAGCCCTCTGTCGCTTTTCTGAATATGTGGTAGCCATCTGACTTAGTCTAATTTCGACGAATCTTCTCAAAAACAATAAATCCCCACATTATACTGCTCTGTAATGTTCACCTTTTGTCGATTTATGCCCTCCTTTAGTCTTAGTTCATCACCTCGTGCTCCTTATGACCTTCACAGTGAATACCGGAACGTCCGGTTGTAGTTTTATTTCGTCGCCGCTTACCGAAATACTCCGTGTGTATTTTTCGTTTTCATCTTCACAGAAAAACTTAGCTCCAACGATGAGCTGAAGAAGCGATCTGTCCATCGCATATTGACCTATGATTTGCCCCAATACTTCGCGATCATCACTCGTATACGACAGGAAATTATTCTAATTGGTCCCGAGGGTGGCACCTTGACTTCAAACGTGGATCGCGGTGTCCGGGTGGAGTTCCCTAGTGGCGCCCTTCAGAAAAAGATCCGTGTCGGGTTGCAGGTTCACTCAGTGGAGCAGGATCTGGTAGCTCGTCTTCTCGGAGCACGTGTTTCGGTTTCTCCCATCGTCACTATCGAACCGCGTCGACGCAAATTCCACAAGCCAATCACCTTGCGTATCCCTCTACCTGGGACAACAAGCAGTGGTGGCGGAACTCAGCCTGGACATTCGGCAGTGAACTCCTCCAGTCTACGCCTTTTATGCTCTATCAGTGGAGGCACCACCCCCACATTGTGGGAGGATATCACCGGCAGTTCACCTTTGACAGCGGACCAGAATATGGTCTCCTTCACCACCACAGTATCTGCTCGGTATGTGTCCAGTCACTATCCATCTTTCACCTTTTACTCCGGCTTAACGTATTTGACGGCCATCAGTAGACCTTGCCTGAATTTACCGAGCTGTCCCCATCTTCTTAAGCCCGTTGACCTCTTCAAACTTATGCTCCTTGTTCATCTTGGTAGTGTGTTTCACTTCTTCCGAGTCCAGTTGTTTGTTTGGTTCTGTGCGCTAACTATTATCCATGCGCCGAAGTGCAGTGGATTCATTTGTCCTGATATCCTTCACCAGGCTAATAATAGTAATATCTTAATCAAAACAAACAACCTGTTTAAGTAACTATATGGTAAAGTCAAGCAGTTGTATTGGGGACGAATGCAAAGAGACCGTGCCACATGCAACAAGGTTCCAACCACTTCCGTGGCCCATCCTGATGGTACCACCGCCTGGGAAGGCAACACGGACCATCTTGAGTTTTCGTTTTTTGCCGTATTAACCAGTCCATGTGGTCTTATTTGGTCGCTTGAGCGAAGCTGACCAACAGGTTGTAGGCAAGCTGGAGACCAATCAGTCGCTGTCGATGCGAACTGAGCACCCTTGGGCGGAACAGAGAGAGGATCCAGCATCGGCCCAGCTGTGAAGGAACAACGCATAGCTTTGTCACGAACATCAGCAAAGCGGATTAGCTGGAACAGTCGCGAGCGAACGAGACGTGTGTGTCTGGCCAGGGAGGGCTGATATGTCTAAGCATGACCCCGGACGGACAACGCAGACGATCCAGAAGTCGACTAAAGCGAGCAGAACGTACTGCTCAGTGAACACAAACGCAACATACGCCACACTACGGTCGAGGGACCACCACCCCAATCGATTAAATCCGGTGGATCAGAACAGCAGACAAACGAGGCGGACGACATAATTGAGCACTGTACTAACCAGGCAAAGTTCACTGTGAACAAGTTAGATAGGTCAAAGTCAAAGGTCAACTTCCTGTTCAACAAGCTGAACGCGGACAGGTGACCCAACCAACAGGATTACGCATCTTCCGGACCAGAGAACATATAAAAGCGCACGCGCACAATACTCGACGCACTCTCACCGAGGCTTCCCTACGCTACGCTACAACCTGCTCAACAACCCACTGATGATGTCACGTCGATTGGTGACGGAACGTTTGCAACAAACTTGCCAAGGTCAGCGAACACTTCGACTGCCACCTGAACACAAGCAGACCGCAGAAAACGCAATAAATGGAAGGTAGCCAGTGTGAGGGCATTGCGACCAAGTAGCGCCCCCTATTTGTTTACAGTATAAACGATAATTTGCCTTTCGCAAATAACATGTTGCTCATTGCCCCGCTTTTGTTTTGATTCTTGGAGGGCTGCCCCATAGTCATCCGCGGGAGTTTTACTTAGCTAAGCCCAGTATTCATTATTGGCGGCCGCTTCACTGGCACACGGAGAACACGGTGGAGCCAACGGAGGCGATTCGGGTTTAACAAGCACTCCGTTGAGAGGCACCGGAGGGGGGAGTCTGTTGCTAATCACAATCAGGCAAAATTTAGTATTCCTCGTTCGCTGATACCCTAGCCATGCGCAACACTGCAGGCATTGATCATTGGACACGGTCAGTCACTTAATGTCATCTTTATTGCACAGTGGTCAAGTCCCTTGCCTGTAGAATTTAACGCTGGTTTACACTACAACCCCTTGTTGTAGTGCCTTCCATTGATCATTAAGCTTTATACCCCGCCGTTTCCATAGGTGATCTGAGCTTTACAAATCCGCACAGCAATGTCCTCAGCAATGCGATCTTTAAGCGTCGTGATATTTCAAATTTTCAATTCAAAGAAGTGCTTTATCCACCCATAAAGGTGAATATTCAGCTGTTACACACACGCTTTCAGCATAATAAAAGAAATAAGGCAATACATACAAAAGTAGAGTAATAAATGACAAAAGCAGCAGTATGGTTGTGATGCAAACTTGTTTTTAAGCCCCAGGACAACTGATGTCTGGTCGCACAAAAAACATGCCACATATGGAATGACGGATGACTGGTAAGCCCTTGTGCGGGCAAAAATGGATCTATTCTTTTGTCTGGTTGAGGATACTGAAACACAATCAGACAGTGCACCATGAAGAGGGTGACTTGTAGCAATAAGTATTCTCGAAGCAAGCCTTATGCATGAATTGGTGTGAGTGGACACAAGAAACTCAACAATTGTCGGTTTGGAAATTCCACTACACCGGTATAATTGTGTCAGTGTCTTATCTAGGATTCTGAAGTACTTCCTTAGGAAATCAGGAAATATCACAGTAGCAATCTGTTCAAAGTGGTAGGACCCATGCGGTGATAAATCTCAGAATTAAGTGGCGGGGGAGAGAGGAGCATCGCAAACGAAGGGCCTAGAATGAAAGCCTCCTCACCTTTGTAACAGCATCATTAACATGGAGTGACTAGGAAAGATTACTACTGTGTTAGACCCAGGTACTTCACTGACAATGTAGAGTGCAAATTCTTGCCATCTATGTGAAATTCGGGGTATTCCTTGAGAAGTTGCTGATAACCATGGCTTTTGTCTAGGGACAAAATGACGCTAATGCATGTTGATGCATTTAACGATAAAAGTGAACTCTGGACCATTATACAAGGCTGTCCAGGTAGGCTTGTACTTTAGTTGGTGAGGCTGCATACCCAAGACTACGTCGTCTACACATTTTAGCAATACCGCATCGGCAGGGGCGGGTAAAGAGTCGATGTAAGTGGAAACGAGGTATAGAGATAGTATGATCCCTTGAAGAACAACAGTGTCTGCGGTGAGAGGCGAGGAAGTTTTACCTCCAAGTCTAATAAACTGGGCATGTCCAATGAAGTAGTCTCTCAAAAGGTGGACAGTAGAGAGTTGAATTCCGGCATCATACAGGTCACCCAAAAGAACCTCACGGTTTACACTGCCGAAAGCATTACTATAGTCGAAAAAATACACGCGTACGGATTTGACTTTTTTGTCAACTGAGAACAGAACTGTGTATACAAGATTGGCTAATGCGTATTGAGTAGATCTCAAACTGCGATATGCAAACTGTAGCGGATCATCTGAGTGAGTCTGATTCAGCAACTTTTCAAGCATATTCTTCTCGAATATCTTCAAGTTCACCGAGGTGCAGGCATTTGGTCTGTATTTATCTGAGCCTTTCTTAGGCACCGGTGTAATTCTGACACTTCTTTAGCAGTCAGCAATATTACCCTCTTTCATGCACAACGTGTATAGGTCAGTAAGAGGCTGTGCCAAGGAATCGGTGCACACTTTGAGGACGACGGGTGATAGTCCGTGTGGTTCACTTGCCTTGTTGCTGTTCAGTTTATTACGCACTGTATTTCCGTCAATGGCAGGTAAGGAGGTTGCGGGCCAATCCAGTCGTGGGGAAGAAGTGTGAGGTGGAGTTAGCATTGAAGCAACAGAAGTTCCGGTTCAGTTCTTCCAGGTCTACATCTCGGTTAGAGACTCCACTAAGTTGTTTCAGCATACGCCAGACATCCCAGCAGCTACTATTTCCCCTTATGGTCTGGTCATATAGGTGGTTTAGACGGCGCAACTCAATTTTGATAGAAATAAGAAAAGATTTCACCGCAGCGTGCTCTTTCGTTTTGAGCGGTTTCTCTTTGAGTTTACCCAAGCGTTGTAGGTATGGAGATGAAAGCGATTCTCGCGGATGCAAATGGTTTCCAGTGGACAGCATATATCAAAGCAGATGTTGATGTAGCTCGTTAACTGGTCGCAGTATTTAGACACATCCTTGTCAAAAAAATGTACTTAAATCTGTGGATGAAATCACTTCCTGGAGGCGATATATGTTCTCAGGTAAACATTGTCTTCTTTTAAGCCTGCGATCTTTACAACGAGTAATATTCCTATGATTTACTTTGTTGTGCACGATAAGAGATAACTTGATATTTGTGTGGGCAGAATTACCACTCAGTGCCGGATTACACACAGAAAATAGCTTCGCATTGTTAACAAATATATGGTCTATAGTTGCTTCAGGTCTAGTGGGGGAGTTACTAGCGTTTTGCAGCCCAAGATCTGTGAGAGAAGAGGTGTCAAATCTGTTATATTCACCAGCAAAGATGCAAAGCGAAGAATCAATGTGGTCGATGACACTTGAAGTGAACTGCTCGTAAAATTCCTCGACCTCAGAGGACGGACAACTGGGGGCAGCGTGGATATTTTCAAGTAAAATCGATTGCTATCCACTTATAGGTATACATTTCATAATCAAGCAGTTAATACATGCAGAAGAAAAGCGAAACCAACTTTTTGTTGGCGTGCACCGAACAGGATTGATATAAGTGATGACACCGCGGCGGTTCTTGTATGCAGTCGACCGGTCGACACGATTGCAAATGAATCCATCGTTCGCTAGAACCTCATCGCCAACATCTTCATGAAGTTACATCTCTTGAATCTTAACTACGCCAAACTTCGATTATTCCCAATAGCGAATTTTGCTTCTAATTTCATCCACTTTGCTTATAACTGATCGGACATTTGAGTTTATTATGATGAGTATACTCATACTCCGCACTGTTTTTTCCGTAGAGCAACCCTCCATCCTGCACGATACTTTTTAGTAGAAAATGTTGTACTTCTTGTAGATCCGCTCCGGTTTATTTTTTACAGCTTGACCGTGAAAAATCGTGACGTTCAACAGAGTAGAAACACATGGATCTTAAAATCTCGCGAGTGTAGGTCGTCATGGCCTTGAAGTTTGTATGGATTGGGTAGCAGAAACAAATGCAAAGATTACGGAAAGCGTTCGTGTAAGCCGTTTCTCAGATGGAACGAAATAACACGACCAAGTTTGAAGGCCCTGCTTACGGTACATTCTTTTTCGGTAAGCAAACCAATCGGCCATTTGGAAGAGTATTTCGCTAGTAGTAGGAACGGGCAATGTGTCTTTCCAGTCTGGGGACAGCGTCTTACACTTTGGTGATGCGAACGGCATGCCTGCTTTGTTTTGCAATTGTAAATATAAATTGCATGTTAGTGATCCGAACGGCTGTTGGCAGCCACTTGCAACGGACAATCCATGCATAAGCATGTTTTCAACATTCAAGCATTACACAATGTTAGAAGTAGACATCGGGCCTTTCTGAACGCGGCGAGAATCAAAAGCTTGAGATACTGTTGAGCAAACTTATTTCGCGATCCATTTAAGAACTGTTAATTACAATAAGCCATTGCTTTCAAAACACTGGCGAGGTAGATTGCCCTCGTTGACTCGTTCAGTGCTCATATATCAGTACTCGTGTTCCTGTGGTGCATGATTCTTGGATCGCACTATAAGGTGAGAGCATATGTCGACGTAGTTCTACGAAGACAAAATGAAGTTGTCATACAGCTCTATCATGTCGCACCTCCTTGATTTTGACCACGCTGCCTCTGAGAATTTCTACAAAGTCATCTGCTCATTCTCCGAACGCATCTCGCAAGCTTCCGTAAACGGCTCCTGTCCATTATCGAGGCAATTTACATCTACCATTTAAAGCGGGAATTGTGTGTGCAGAAGCGGTTCGTACTGCTGCTAGTGCTACCGTGGTCAGCAGACATTGTCACTTAGCTGTCTGGTTGGTTTGCTTTAGATTCCTAAGGCTTGATGTACTAATTTTGCTTTTTTTTACTTTATCTGCCATCTGTAGCTTAGTTTTAAGTTATCAATCTGACTGTTCAAATAGCTTAAAAATTAATCCCTAGCCCTTACCTATGTAAGCGCTTGGTTCTAGTGAGTGTTTACCCGTAGCAGCGGCAATCCTAGCCCGTAGAAGCATCCGGTAGATTACAGGGAGACCTATGTAACTTACTTTTCGGCTAACCGAATGAAAGAGTGTCGAAATCTGATCCGGATGTGGCGTAAGGTAGAGTTGTATGGCTCGCAACTAATGTACTCTTGAGCGATAGACAGGTAAAGTATCACAATGAACCACAAACATGAGAATAGCCATTGAAATTGTTTGAAGAAAGCACACATTGCAGATGCAATAATCAACGCCGCCGATCGATCACACAACAGTTTACTCCGCATGTTGCAGCCACTCGGAATTTTTAGTTAACAGCGAGAGCTGTCAGTCAACACAGCCGCGATGGTATTTTTTCGTCCATGAATGTAACTAAATGGTAGGCAGAAAAACTCTTGTTGGAACTACTATTTATGGAAGCAAGTAGTGGACTGGTAACTTTGTTTAGGCGATTCAGTTTCACAAACCGAGCCCCATAGTCTTTAAGGCATCGTCTCATCATCATCAAAACAAGATACAGAAGAAGAAAACAGAGGTGCTCTCCGTTGGCATCAGTCTCAGCGGACCATAAACCATGTGCTACAGTCGTGCAGTCAACTGCCGTGTCAAATTGGCTGTTCCATTCGATGATGCTTAGACAATTTTCTTTGAGCTGCGCCCGTCTGCTTATTTTTGATAATTCTTTTATATTTTCCTACATTCCTGGTCATTCCGTTATACGAACTACGGGATTGGTTAACCGACCTAACACCAGTGAGATGGAACAGCGAAATGCGGGAGTGACCGACGTTTCGACTGTAAACTGACCGTTACTCGTTGTTGTGGAAAACAACCTAGAGAAGTAGGAGATGGAATCAGAAATCCATGAAAATCAGAAACGAAAAGTTACAAAAAGCAACGGAATCGGACATGAAGTGAGGTATCTTCAACAAAGAAAACTTGAGGCACAGACCACTGCCCTCTGGCTTCCATGACCTCGAAGATTACTGGATAACTGCGCTTCCCAGGGCTGCCGTACCACATTTCTTGGATTTACTTTGTGGTCGAAATGATCACAAATGTTCTTCTTATGCTACCTCCTACTTCTGTTGCGACAAAGATACTATTAGTTGGCTGGCGTTGCTCTTTTTGGTAGGACCTAGTTACTATGACGTCTTTGCTGAGCGGAGTAACTGCGTTCTTTTCTCGACTGGACGTGGGCCGGCGGTTAGCAGTGACGAATCCCTTATGCGCGTGCTTCCCATCGTCATGCAGACCGCACCTCCTATTTCTACACTTAGTGGTGATCTCGGTGCTCAGTAACACTGTCACAGCCTCGTGACCGATGCCTCTCGACCATTCTTTGGGACAGCATCCGTAACCATGGTGAGTTTCCAATCAATTTGGAACTGGAGTTGGCACATCGCAAACTATACGTCATTCTGTCCGTCATTCAAGTAGTAGACAAGTCCGGTGATGGTTTGTTAGCTGGATTTAAATCACTCTGAAGAGATTGGGGGTGCAGCAACCCACTTACTACACCGTGTGTGCGGAATTTTGTTTTTCTTTGATACACATCCACGCCATTCATTTTTGCGCTTTTTACCTTTGTCCCACAGTCTGTGGCTCGTGGACTGTCCAAACACCACGGAAGTCGTCGAGCTGGCCAGCCGGGTCTATCACGAATCCATGTCTGTACCATATACCGGTCGTTTCATCGTCTATGGTCGCCGGCATCACTCCGAAGAAGCCCAACTGCGATGCTTGTGTCTGACCGACGATCCTGTGAATAAAACTTTAGAACATCAAGAGGGCTTTGAGCTTATCGCTGTTGGACCTCAGGTGGAAGTGAGTTTTATGTTTGTACTCTTAGGACCGATCAAGAAGATTTGCGAACAATCGCTTGGTTTATTATTTTGGCAACCTTTCGCTTTTGGCGTAGAGGCTTCGTCAGGCCAGATGAATTGACACATATTTGGTGTGACATTTTATAGCGAATGAAAGAGCTAATTGTGACAACTGATCTTCCAGCTGGCCTACGTTCCTCGTCGGTTCGTTTAAAGGATCTCCTTCCCACGGAAAGAACAACGAACTGTGTGTTAAACATCAACCCCAAAGACTGCATACTTATGCATTGGTCAAACAGCGAGAACACTACGAACACAGATCTTGGAACACAAAAGGTCCATTTTGTCACTCCCGAGGAATGTGTTTGAGTGCAGAGCTCTGTTAAGCACTTCTGACGTACCACGAATGCGCTTACATATATATATATATATATATATATATATATATATATATATATATATATATAAAGCGACGGTGGATGGCTTGCGCTGCACCACACGCAGCTCCAACCACACACCCCATATCCAGTGTAAACCCGAAGGAATAAAACCGGGAGGCATGTGGATAGGAGCCACGTTTCATCAACGGAGCAGCCCACACTCCTTCACAGGCAAACACAGGCACGCTGTATTTGGGGAATCAAGTACACACAAGGCGGTGGCTTGACCGTAGTCCGCTCCACACTGAGTGCATGGAACCACTCTTGGAGCCTAGCACGACCAAAAGGACCGTGCACCCCGTCCCCTTCAGCAACGATCAACTGTCTCCTGGAGCCAGATGGACGAGGTAGTGGGTAATAGATAGGTAGGCACCTTGTCAACATGCACATCAAGCGTGGCCACACCGGGGATGTCAAGGAACAACTAATCACATGAAATGCAATGTCGATTAAAATAGATCGAATACACCGTACGAATATGCCGCAAAATTAGCATATGAAATAAATGGATTATCAACATAGTCGTGATAGATTCGGGATGGCAGAAAAGGTGATCAAGACACATATGTAAGGAGGAGATAAAAATAAGCAAAGTTAACCACCTTTAGATTAAGTGAAATGTACATTTTAATAGAATCTTCAGGTACACATTACAATGCGGTAAAAAAAGAACACTAAGACAAGGTAGCAAAGCAAGCACTTGCAATAAAAAATCAGCACGCAAGCACGCGGTTAGTAAGTTGAATGCAGCGTACCTACAAACGCTGCGCCGGTTCTACTTACCTTCTCAGCAGGACCCGTCGTCGTTTTGGTGGTGGCCCCGAGTGGCCTCGCTCATGGCTCACTAAACCTGTCTGACTCAAGCATTCGCTGCCACACGTGCTACAGCACCATGCGCTCGACGTCGATGGAGTACAGCCCATCGGCGCCTGTTGCTTCCACATTTGCCGCTTCTTCTCTGCATGCACAAGGGCTTTCTCTTGTACCTGGTAACGGTCTTGGTGTTTAGATCACGCCATGCACGCCGATCAACCGCTTTCGACTCCCATGACCTGCAATCAACATTAGAACGTTATAGGCTCACTTTGATCATTCATTTGTTCATTTGTTCTCCGAGCTTGGCGGTTTTGTCGCAAACGTTTCACCACCATGCGAGGTGGCATCCTCACTATACACATACACATAATACACACTGTAGCTAGAGGTGGGAAACATCTCAGCTACTGTGCCGCAATACCTAAAAGAAAATCGGGAATAAAATGCAACAGGTGCATGCCAGCTGAGGTACCGGTAACGGATGGGTATCGTTCCGGTAAACTACCTGCCGGCAACTATGCAGCAGAAAAAAATAATTTCCTATGCCAAATTATAAAATGCTAAATAATGAGATCGTGGTTGGAGGGGGAGGCTAAGAGGGATGGGGTGGGACAAAGAAACTCACAGCACGAACGCCACTGAGGTCGACTCCTAGCCATATCAGCAAGTGTGTCCAACCAAACGTGTTCATCGTCTTTCGGACCACAACCAGGGAGCCGAGACGCTCCAACTGAGGCCAGCTCAGAAGTGAGGGCCTTCATTCCTCTGGAGCAAGTCATCGCTTGGCAACCCATCCTCTTCTTCCATCCACATCCCCGGCGCGCAAACAACGCACGTCGCGGGAGTCGGTGGGCTGGCATGCGTAACACGTGGCCGAGCCATCGGAGCCTGGTGTGTGAAATAACGGTGCTGAGCGGTTCATTTCCTTTTCCTGTGCCGTAAACAATGCGTCGAACACGCTCGTTACTCACGCGGTGTTCCCATCAGAAGTGAGCTAAATTGCGAAGGCACCGGTGGTCGAACGTAACTAGCCTCTTCAGGTCCGCTGCTTTAAGCGGCCAGGTTTCACAGCCGTACAGTAGGGTCGAACGTACCGCTGCATTGTACACTCTACCCTTCAGGGTGAGAGTGATGTCGCGCCAGCGCCATAAGTGGCGAAGGTTAGCAAAAGCGTCCCGAGCTTTTGCTATACGGTTCGTGATCTCATCCTCAATCCCACGGGCGCTGATACAACTTCCCAGGTAGTTGAATTTTTGAACGACTTCTAGCTGATCCCCACCAACGGTCAGCGTAGGAGGGGGTCCAGACCAATCTTGGAGGAACGCTTTGCACTTCGATGGTGCAAAGCAAAGCCCGAAGCGGCTGACAGCCAGTGCTACTCTGTCCAGTGCCGCTTGGCACGTATGGGAGCTGTCACAGATTAGGGCAATATCGTCAGCATACTCCAAGTCAAGAAGTCGTTCTCCTGGGAGCAGATCCACACCTTCAAAGTCGTATCCTGTGAACGCGATTTCCATGACTTCGTCAATAGCGAAGTTGAAGAGGAAAGGTGACAGTGGGCATCCTTGTCTCACACCGCTGGAGATATTAAAGGGCGAAGGCAGCTTGCCGTAAGCCCTCACTCTGCCCGAGCTGCGCGCCTATGATGATTGGATAATATTTACATATTTTTCAGGAACACCTTTCCTGAATAGACAGTCCCAAAGTGCACGTCTATCTACAGAATCGAATGCACCTTTGATATCGAGGAACACGACAACGGTGGGCCGCCAATATCTGTGGCGGTGCTCCACCAACTGACGCAAAGTGAAGATGTGGTCAATGCAGCCACGACCTCGACAAAACCCGGCTTGCTCTTCACGAATATGGCTTTCACAAGTGCCAGTCAGTCTGTGAAGGATGACAGAGGCAAGCAATTTGGAGGCGATGGAGATCAGACTGATTCCTCTATGGTTGCCGCATTCCGATCGTGAGCCTCCCTTGAAAATTGGGACTATGACAGAACGGTTCCAGTCGGTTGGGACAGTTTCCTGCACCCACAGTTTGACTAGTAACTCGTGTAAATCATCCACAAGAGTAGGTCCCCCGAATTTGAAGAGGGCTGGAGGAAGATCATCTGGTCCCGCGGCTTTATTTAACTTCAACAGTCCGATCTCACGTTCGACTTCTGAGCGAGAGGGTGGATACAAAGGGACAGCCCAGGGCGCAGGGCGATCAGTGGCCGGCGAGAAATCTAACAATTCCGAGCGATTAAATTGCCTTTCAAAGTGCTCAGCCCAACGCTCCAAGCGTTTTGACAAGTTATGGATACGCTGTCTACTCTTGCCACATATATTTTCACTAACACTAAGTCTTCTGCTGCCCGTTTTCCGTATCAGACGGAATAACTCACAATGGTTACCAAATTAGCGGCCATTTCCATCTCCGATGCACGATGATACCACCAGGATTCGCGGTCTCTCTTTAAGCTAGCAAGGAGTTTTGCCCGGAGCTCTTTGCGAGTTTCATTGTGTTTGCTTCCAGCCGGAATATGCCGGCGAGCATCTATAAGTTCCAGAGACTGTGAAGAGACCCAATGTCCATGTTGGCGATTAGACTTACCACATGAGGATTCACCTGCTGATAGTAAGGGCTAGTGAATATGAGACCAGTGCGCTTCATCTGCATCCAGTGAGCGTTTATCCAACTCGCATGACAGCGTACTTTGTTAGGCATTCAGAACAGCTGGTTTTGTCAGTTGGCTTGTGTCAATGCGCCCACAACGTCGTCGTGGGCGTCCGCCAAAACGCATCCGCAGGTCAGCACATGCAAGTGCATGATCGATGTCCACACCTGTGCTCCAAATCGAGCGACAGTTTTGGACGCAGCCTCTCCATCGGTAACTTATCGCAATGTGATCGATTTGCGTCCAAGGCTGTTTCGATGCTGGTGGGCGCCAAGTCATCCTCCGGCGGGTGCTGTGTCGGAAATTAGTGCTCGCAAGAAAAAAGCGGGCATCTACACACAGATGAAGTAACCGCTCACCGTTGTCATTACGGGAGCCTACACCATGTTGGCCGCCCAGATGCAGTTCATCAGTGGATAATTTTCCAACTTGAGCGTTCAGATCCTCAGCCAGCACAACAGTGTCCGAGCTTCTTCTGTGGCGAAGGATCTCGTTCAGTTGGCGATAGAAGCCGTCTTCTACCGAACTCTCACTTGAGTTTGTGGGTGCCTATGCAGCAGTGACGAATACACTCCTGTTAGTCCCGCGTGACTTCGAAGCTTTGAACGAGCCAGCCCATCGGACCGCACACAACCGGCTATTGATTGGAATCCAGTCAACTAGAGCAGCTCCAGCCCGGGAACTCAGGGCAGTACCAGTACCAGCTTGGCCGGTGCTCGAAGCTGCATCGTCACCGGTTAGGCGCAATAAGAAAGTGCTGCTGGTGTCACCTGAAAGGGATCGCAGAGTGAGTACAGAGCTCGAGTCTTGCAGGCGGGTCTCCAGTAAGCAGCAGATATCGATGGAGAGGGTCTCTAAAGTTCAAGCAAGTGCTGCCTGTTGACCCATCTGTAGCAATGTGCGTACATTGGGGCATGCCAATCTGAAGGATGATTGAGGGCTCCAAATGAAAGTCGTTGAACTGGGCTTGGCCGTTTGCTTGGACATGGGTTGCGACAGGGAATGACGCTCCACGTTCACATATGGATTGCAACTGGAAGACAAGCGACTATTGAAGCAATGTGGGGGTCCAAGAATTGG